TGGCCTCAGCATCTCTTTCTCTGTGTGTTACTCTGAATTATTACTCCACTGAAGTCATCTCTTCCCTGCCTTTCTGCTGAGAGTACTTTGGGAGTTTGATTGAGCTTTGGTTTCCTGCCTTCCCAGCACCAAGGTTTGGCCTGCAGCAGCTACTTAATAATTAAGCAAATTAATGTCTAGAATCACAGGTGACATTTTTTCCACTGGTCTCACAAACTTGTTATTTTTCTCTTCAATTTGTTCTAACCCTCTAAACCTGGGTAAACATTTTACTTCTCTAGCTATTTTTCTCTACCATTATTTAAGACATTGGTGACCATTTTATATTCTGTTTTGTTGTACTTTGTCTAGCTTCAATTCCAATGTTTCACACACACTCAGCCTCAGTGTGTGCTGGGATGATTATATTATTTATGTGGTGACCAGACTGGGGTAGATGAGGTCTGAGAAGCCTATCTCCCTAATGAAATCATGTAGTTGACATAACTAACTCAGATGACCAGGAGCAGTCACCCTCACTAGGTAAGTGAAAAGGTCCCCCCTATACAGCTTCCTGGAGGACAAAAGAGAGTTGGCAACCTGTCCAACATCCTGGGATGGCCCACCTTAGGTGAAGAAGAAGGAGACACCTTATTGAGAAGCCAGCAGAGGCAGCTGTAGTGATGCAGGTTCTCTTCAGAGTCTGGTTTCATGAAGAGTGAGGTAGGAGTGATCAGAATCCAGGAAGCAAAGAGAGTAATGAGTAGGGGGCTCCTGAGGGCAACTGGCTTAGCTCCTCTGAGATCTGAGCTAGTGCAGGGAGATCATTAATTCAGAGGCCTCCTGTGTAGAGACCAATGCTCTACAGGGAATTTCCCTCTTGATTTACTTGACTTTAGAATAATCTTTGCTCTAAGAAATAGGCCTGAGTTAAATTCAGAAAAGACCCTGAAACAATAAAATTATGACACAAAAGGATTAAAATGGGGACTATGGAATGTATAAGGAACCTAAAATCTCAACAGCCAAATATAAATAATATTTTTAAAATGAAAGTACTAGGTGTAAAATGGGGAAATATTGTGAACAGGTATTTCTCATAATAAAATATACAAATGCCCAATAAAAATACTAAAAAAAATGCTCAATGCATTTTTTTATTTCCAACTTCCCACGATTCTTAAAAGTATAAATGAATGAAAATGATTGTACATATTTAAATAGTGCAATGTGATATTTGACATATCTAGGCATTGTGAAATGATTATTATCACAAAGAATATTAAGATATTTGTCTTTTCACACAGCTAGCTTTTTTTAATGAAGTCACAAACATGTTCTTGCAAGACAAATTTTATGTTTATAATGGAGCATACTAAGTACAATTAACATACTGCCCATTGGGCATCCAGAAGGTATGCATCCTTCATCATTAAAACTCTGTGTTCTTTAATCACCCTCGCCTCATCTCCCACCCCATCTATGGTAATGACCCTTCTACTCTCTGTTTCTGTGAGCTGAATTTTTTGTACTACAAATATGTGAGATTATGCATTTTTAAATCTTTTTCTATTTGACTTAGCGTAATGTCTCTATATTCATACATGTAGTCACAAAAGACATGATTTTCTTCATTTTCAAGCCTTAGCAATAAATCATTATGTGTATCTTCCATAATATTTCCTGTATTCATTCATACATCTACAGATGCTTAATTGCTTCCATATTTTGGGCATTGCCATTGATACAGCAAGTATAAGGGAGTATAGAAATTTGTTCAAGACCCTGATTTATTTCTTTTGCACATATATCCAGATGTGGCATGGCTGGGAAAGAAGGCATGTCTTTATTTTTTAGGCATTTCTGTGCTGTTACCCACATATATCAGAGTCCTCTCCGGTGGGTTCTGATCTCCTGGTCAGTGCTATGATGCATGGTGAGGAGAAAGACAGAGAGACAGAGTTAAAGAAACAGAGACACTGTCAGCCAGGATGACCAATGCTCATGGAAGCAAAGCTGAGCAAGTAAAGTCCCTGAACACCCAGAGCTGTTGGTATTTATTAGTGACATCATAGTTAGATTGAGGTAAAGGAGCTGCACGAGATGATGTGTACTTGGTATGGATACATTGCTCATGCAGGCAAGCCTTGTAAAGGAAGACACAAAACATTCTCTAATTAGTGATAGAACAGACCAAAAAATAGGTTGTGGATAATAATTAACCTCATCGTTTTAGTAAAGAAGGATTTACCTCTGGGAACAGAGTTTGGGTAAGAGTCACTGACCTCAGCACATAAGCTTTGCTGACTTGCTTCTATAATCAAGCCAATTATGGGGTTAACTCTACACAGCCTGCACTGGTCATGGCCTGCTTTGGGCACAACTAACAGGGCTGTCCCCCCACACATAGGCTACAGAAACTGACTTTCCCTTCTACAGTACTCTAGGTTCTCTCTTCTCCCAGACATTTCCAACACTTCATAGCTTTTGTCTTTGTAGTAGCAACCACTCAAACAGGGCTGAGATATGTCTTTGTTCCTTTGGTTTGCTTTCCCTTATGATTAGTGATATAGAGTACCTTTATATACCTGTTGGCCATTTGAATGTCTGCTTTTGAAAAATATCCAGGTACTTTGCCATTTATTTACTGAGGTTGCCAATTTGCTATAGATTTTCATATACTTTGGATATAAATCTGGTTTAAGATATTAATATATAAGTATTTTAAGTTTACATATAGTATGATTCCATCTTAATTGTCAAATTGACTGGAATAACAGATTCTTGACAAGACGATTAGATCCCCAGATCCTATGCTTACTGGTGAGTTAGGTCCTGATGTTCAGAGCTGGATGTGTTGCTGGGGGGGGGGCTCTTTTGGAAGCACTGGGATTATGCCTTTGGAGGGTGTACCTCTGGCTGGTGTGCTTTCTCCATGCTGTATCCTGGGATCTATCAAGTGGGAGGCTCTGCTCTATCCTTCACTTCTGCCCTGTAGTTTCTGTTCTGGAGCCAGCCAGAACAGAAAATGAGTCTCACTTCCTTTAACTTGAGTATGGCAGGTATTTGGTCCCAGAAAAGGAAGGCGCATAGTACAGAAAATTGAAACCACAGAACAGGGCTCCATTCTTGACTATACTGACAATGTGGTTCACAAGTCTTCACCCTGGTTTGTGAGAGGAAACATTTGGAGATGGAGACTAGTGAATAACTTCATGACATAAGCAGAAATGGGTTGGAGTTTTGGGAGGTGCTGGTGATTGAAAATGGGCTTCACATAGAATTTTACACCCAGCCATTTTAACATTTTTATTGTGAGACATGGACTTGCTAAGTTCCTGAGCTGCCCAGGAAGTTCTTGAATTTATAATCCCACTGGATCAGACTGCCAGAGTGCCGGGATTACAGGTGTATGCCACCCGTCCTGGCCTGATAAGCAACCCTGGTCAGAGCCCAGAAAATAAGAATTCTCAAAGGAATGTGGAGAGTTAGGCCAGGCTCAGGAATTTTCAGATTGGAATAAGGACTGTTGACCTACAGGCCACATGTATTATCTCGGACCAAACAAGTTCCTATACTGTGTTTAACATTTGTGTGATAGCTGAGTTTACAGGTGGTGGCCTAACTGATTTGGCAGAACAAATTTGAAACCCACTCAACATTTATGCTGTGGAATGCTTACTAGTGGCTGCTTTCCTCAGAGAGCCAGAAGCAAAATAAGAAAGAATTTTAAAAATTGAATTTTCCCCTCCCTGCAAAAAACCACCTATAAAAGTGATGGAGAAAAAGAGGTGTATTGATGAAGAAAATTGCACCTAAAATGAAGCCAAGTATTCTGATCCAGGTAAAGAAGGAACACACATTGAGGACTTTGCAGGAATGGGAAAGTTCCCAATCATCCCAGACTCCAAGGTTCAAGAGGCTAATATTTTACTTTCATAGAGAGCCCCACCTAAGGACGTGGTCCCTGGGATTCACTTCACTGTGCTTAAGCCTTACCAGCAGAAGTCACTGCACATGCTCTAAGGATCCTGGCTACTGCTAAACACAGATCTGAGTACTGTACACATGATGCTAGGTGTTAAGTCAAGCAGAATCCAAGACTGTGCAGATATGGAGGCTTCCAGAAAGTTCCCTTACAAATACAGAGCCAGGGCCAGGGATTTAGCTCAGTGACACCGTAACTGCCTCACAAGCACAAAGTCCTGAGTTCAATCACTGGTACAAACAAGAAACAAAAAATATATAAATACAGAGCCATTTTCAGATGTAAAGTATGTTTAATTAGCCTGGTTCCTTTGAAAATGAGATTTAGAGTTGGAAATATATTTTCCAAAATTGAATTTACCTAACATTCAGACACACAATGTGATAAAAATGTATTAAAGCAAACACATAATGTGCTATAGAATTTATACTTAAATGATTTTCCCTTTATCCTCTCAACCAATAACCTATGGTGATAATTCTTATTGCAAACTGTTAATTCTTTGCTTTCCATGTATGAGAGACCAATGTAGTATTTGTCTTCAATTTTATTTCAATTACTATAATGGTGCACATTTCTATCTATCTTTTCATAAATTAAAGAATTTAATGTTGTATTGGCTAGTTAATATCCTTTCTGTAAACACGCCATGGTTTATTTACTCACTTGACTACTACAGTGTGGTGATGGATCTGGAAGTTCAGTTCTCAAAAGAACATTGTATATTGTGTCTAGGGACAAAATATATTTGGAAAAGATCAAGAAAAATCATAGTGATTCTATTTGAGATTTCAGGAGCAGAATTTTCTAGACAAAAAAGTTTCTCTGGGTTTCAGATTGATTAACATATAGACAAGGAAACTCATTTCTTTCCAACCATAGGCATTCATTTGGAAAACCAGCCATGCTAGTATTCATGGATGTGTGCCTGCAGTTGTGCAGGAGACAGGCAGAAATCATCTCACTTCCAAAGACTTCACCCCACCCTGGTATTGCAGGATCCTCTTCCATGCTGGCATCCCATCCTTGTTTCTCAGGGTATAGATGAGTGTGTTGAGGACTGGGGTAATAACAGTAGAAGGACATGAACTTTGCCTGAGTGTGATTTTTCTGGAGGCTGGAGTTGCACATACATGGCAGAAGCAAAGTACATGGTGACCACAAGCAAGCGGGAACTACAGGTGCTGAGTGCCTTGTGCCTGCTTTCAGCTGAAGGTAGTTTCAGTAGAGCCCTGGCAATGAAGGTGTCAGAGGTGACCACCAGCATGGGAGCCATCCTTGCAAAAGGAATGGGTCCAATAACCAGGGCCAGCTCATTAGCAGTGGTTTCCCCAAAGGCTGGCTTGATGAGCACAGGCAGTTCACAGAAGTGGTCCAGAGTATGCTGTCTACAGAGGGGGAGCTGGAGGGTGAGAGTGGTTTGGAGCAGGGAATTCAGGAGCCTGCTGGAACAGGAGGGAGCTGCCATATGCACACATGCCCAGGGACAAATGATGACAGTGTACTGGAGGGGCCAGCAGATGGCCACATAGTGATCAATGGACATCATGGCCAATAGGATGCATTCAGCAGAGGCAGTCCAGTTAAGAATATAGCCCTGTGTGATGCAAGCCCAGGCAGCAATTGTCTTGTGTGGTCCCCAGAGCTTGGCCAGCATCTGGGGCACAGTGCCACAGGTCACACTGAGGTCCAGCAGAGAGGGGTTGTCCAGGAAGTACATAGGTGTCTGAAGTCTGGGGTCCTCCAGGGAGAGGAGGATGATGGAGCTATTCCCCACCAGATTGAGGAAGTAGGAGATGAGGACCACTGCAAAGAGTGGCCTTTTGAGCCATGGGAACTCTGAGAAGCCCAGCAGGACAAAAGTATTGGAAACCTCATGTTTCTCCTTCCCATGGCATCTGCTTTATATGTACCTAGAAGGAATGGGACAGATTTTGATTATATGCATGACTTTTCAATTTCAACAACTTTACAGCAGCATCCTCAAAAATTTCCCTTGGAAATTATGAAGCCTCATAACTGTTAGGAAAATTTTTGTATAGCTCTATAACAGTTTCCTATACCTTCACTTTATAGTCAATATAAAAGTACATAAAGACATGTCAAAAATTTTACATAGGTCCAGGATTCATACATATGTGCCAGGGCAAAGCACCTGCCTGGCCACCTGGATGCCCTGAGTTCAATTCCCAGTATCACCCTCAAATTTTTAAATAGAGATGAATCCAGTAAACTGGTAATCTCTTTATTTGAAAATATCAACCAGTCTCTTTTTTATTTCTTCCCAATTCTCCCATTTTTCATCTTCCCCTTTTATCTTTGGTGGATTTCCATAACTCATTGAATGTTATGTTCTCTAGTGATGTGAAATGGGGTGTGTGGCCCATTCCATTTAGGGCACTGCCTCCTGTTCCCTGTGAGTCCATATAGGTGAGGGATTTGGGGCTCAGTTGGATGGATAGAGCTTGATATAGCTCAAGTGGATACATACTGCTCTGGAATTCTCAGATGTGAAGAGGCTATTAAATAGAGTTATGCTGGATGCTCATCTATGCCCCTATTTTTGTAACAGTAAAATGCACATGACTTCCTCTTCTATGTTAAACACTTTCAAGCTCACAGTAGAGGGGTGTTGTGTGCATTCATATTTTTGTCCTGCCACTGTCACCTTCCTTCTGACAAGACTAAGATCAGACCTGGGAATCAAACCTCTGTCTCCTCCCTGACTCTGGCAGTCACCGTTCTACTACCTCTCTCTGCAGTTTTGGGTTCTTTGAACCTCTCAAAGAAATATAATCTTATGTTGTTTGACATACTGTGATTGGTTTAGTTCACTTATTTCAGTAGTTTCCAACCATTTTGGTTCAAGGACTAGTTTCCTGGAAGATTATTTTTCCATAGACAGTGGGTTGAGTTAGTTTTAGGATTATTCAAGCACAAATATTTCTTGTGCCCTTCATATTTATGAATATTTCTTGTACTATATAATGAACTAATTATGCAGCTCACCATAATGCAGGATCCGTGGGGCTCTGAGATTCTTTTCCTAGCAATAGATTCTTCCATGGGAGTGATGGGAGAGAGGAGTATCTGAAGAGTTTTGCTCATGTCCAGTCTCCTCCAAGATATTTTTGGGGGTTTTCTGTCAGTGCAGAAACCCTGCTTCACAAACACAGAGCACTAGAAATAGAAGCAGTCTGTTCAATGCTTTTGTGGCAACCTCAGTATGTTCTGCCTTAACTGTAATTGAGAACATAGGAAGATTTTAAATGGTTTTCAACACTTTACACACCACTATCATTTGAGGTCTTAAGCAGTATAGTTTAACATCTTTAGCATAGACAAAGTGGATTCTCTTGCCTCATTCACAAATGGGTGACAGCTAATGAAGACAAATTATAGAAAGTGGGCATGGAGAATGTGAATCTCCTTTTACAATGAATCCAGAGCTTAAGGAGGACTCATATTTTCTTTTAAATACAGCTTTTCTTTTGTTGGCAGTCTTAGAGATTTCTGGTGACAAATGATTCAGTGGTTCTCCATTTTCAAAGAACCTCTTCAATGACATTTTTCCTACTTATTTTGGGTAGGGTAAGCTTGTGGGCTTGTCAAAATTGTGACTGAGCTGGTTTTGTGAAAGAAAAAACAAAATTGATAAACCCTTCACCAACCTTATCAAAAAAAGGAAAGAAAAGTCTCAAATCCATGCAATTAGGAATGAAAAAGGTGAAGTCACAACTGCATCAGCAGAAATACAGAAGATCATCAATACCTGCTTCAAGAATCTGTACTCTAATAAAATGGAAAACACAGAAGAAATGGACAGATTTCCAGATACATATGAATTACCGAAGTTGAAAGAAGATAAAAAATTCTAAACAACACAATTACATTCAATGAAATTGAAGATGTAATTAAAAAATTACCGACAAAGAAAAGGCCAGGTCCTGATAACTTCACTGCTGAATTCTCTAAGACATTTACAGGAGAACCGTTGCGACTGCTCTTTAACATTTTCAATGAAATTGAAAGGGAAGCAATACTTCCAAATTCATTCCTAGAAACAAGTGTTACTTTGATTCCAAAAAGAAGACAAAGAACAAACCAAAAAAGAGAGAACTACAAGCCAATCTCCCTAATGAAAATAGTTGCAAATATCCTCAATAAGATACTGGCAAAGAAAATACAGGGGGTCATGAAGAAAATCATACACCATGACCAAGTCAGATTTATCCCAGGGATCAAAGGATGGTTCAACATATGTAAATCAATAAATGTAATACACTACATTAATAGAGTCAAAGACAAAAACCATATGATCATCTCAATGGATGCAGAAAAAGCATTCAAGAAATTCAACACCCATTCATAAAAGCCCTGCAGAAAATTGGAATAGATGGTCTTTATCTTAATTTGATAAAGGTTATCAATGAAAAACCAAAAGCCAACATCATACTAAATGGTCAAAAACTGAAAACCTTCATGCTAAAATTAGGAACAAGACAAGGATGTCCACTATCACCACTTCTGTTCAGTATAGTCTTGGAAACATTAGCCACAGCAATTAGACAAATGAAAGAAATAAAAGGAATAAAGATACTAAAGGAAGAAGGTAAACTGTCATTATTTGCTGATGATATGATACTCTACATAGAAGAACCAAAAAAGTCTGCTGAAAGTCTTTCAGACTTAATTGACAGTAGAATAGCTGGATACAAGATCAACACTCAAAAATCAATAGCCTTCTTGTACACAATTAATAGACTCACTGAGAGAGAAATTGGTGCAGCATTGCCTTTCATAATAGCATCCCAAAATGGAAATATCTAGGAATCAATCTAATGAA